CTTAGCTTTAGTGGGGCGCATTTTGCCGGTTCCCAGCGATCATCTCCGGTGCCTCCTGTAAATACCAGTGAATTCTGGTAAAACTATGCAAAAGCAAAAACTTCGTTCGCACTGGACAAGAGTGTACAAGTCTGGGCAGGATGAGAATTGAAATTTTAGCAGGAACTAGCAAAATAGACTAGCGTAAGTGCAGAATGCTCCCTCCCTTGTACCCAAGCCGAACAGAACCTCACATCTTTTTTTTCCAGTTTATAACTTCATTGAAATGCTTAGTGAATTTAAGGTAACTATGCCACCGTGATTGCCCACAACCCTGAGACAAAGAAGACCCGTATTCGTCTCCCATCCGGAGCGAAGAAGGTCATCCAGTCCGCCAACCGTGCCATGATTGGTGAGCGATGCAATATAAACTTTCATTTTAACGCTTGTTAATTCCATTCTTTCATTTTTTATTACTGCCATGTTCACCTTCAGTCCTTCTGTTTCTCGTTGGAATTCGTCGCATTTAGGATTGGTTGCTGGAGGTGGACGTACTGACAAGCCTATGCTCAAGGCTGGACGTGCATACCATAAGTACAAGGCCAAGAGAAACAGCTGGCCACGAGTCAGAGGTGTTGCTATGAACCCAGTTGAGCATCCCCACGGAGGAGGTAACCATCAGCATATTGGTCATCCTTCGACCGTCCGAAGAGACGCAAGTGCAGGAAAGAAAGTAAGCTATCTTATCCGGATCTCATGTTTTTCTTTAGTATATCAATATCGTTTAAGTGTAAGGGGGAAGGGAATTCAGATGAGGGTAAAAACCCCCAAGCGTTCATTTGTGTGCTTTATCTACTAGGGAAGGTACTTACACGTTCCTTTTTTGGGCGTACACTCGCTCCTACTTGGCGGTCGTTTCTGTGCTTTTTTACCTTTCCCTTTCTTCAAAATTGATTGTGGTGCTCGTGGTGTATCCCTTCTCCATCTCACCCTAATCACTATTGTTCAGGTTGGTCTCATCGCTGCCCGTCGTACAGGAAGAATTCGTGGAGGAAAGCCAGTCAAGATCACCAAGGAAGAGGCTGTTTAAGCTTATTGTTTTTGCTGGAATTGGAATACAAATTTGTTATATTTGTTCAAGAACATATACATATTATACTGTTGAAGTTTTTCTAGTCATTTGATTAGTGAGTATTTGAGTGGCAGTTTTTCCCAACACACAAACGTTCTTGGC